CTCTGTTTGCCCAAACCAAAGGAGGATGCCTCATGGACTACGTCAAAATGAACGAGGAATTAAAGCCAAATGGATGCAGAACAACCGAAATAACCTGTCGCCTTTTTGGTGAGACTCAGGTTTATTCTAACATGAATGATTCCTTATACCAAGAGATGCCTAAACTCGTCTAAATGATACTGTTTTTTTGGTTTGATCTTTGGCAAAGCTCAAATTAGTTGTCAGTCAGCGCTGAAGAAAAGTATAATTTGCATTAATAAGAGACCTTAATCATCCCAATGGACTCAAATAATAAAGATAAAACTCTACCTACTCATCAAATTGCATTTATCGCATAAGTAGGTTGTCATTGCCAAGCAAGAAATATCGCCATGAGTTGGAATTTCTATCGTAATTAAGGAAGCCAAGGATGGAAGCACTCAGCATCAATTGTTCCTGGCAGCTGAAGTTCCCTCCAAATCCTATTCAAAAATACTGAGTTCTCTTCTTGTCGGTCTTTTCCCACAGGTTCGTATGGGAAATATCCTCCGAACTGGATGGATCTGAAGCCCAAGAGAGTTTGGAAGCTGACAAAAAGATTGAGTCCTATATTCACACCCTATCATGGGCAGATGAAGTTCTTGTCCCTGGGATTTCGGTCGGCTTATATGGACGCCTACTTCATGATTCAATATTTAACATAAAATATGTGCATTTTTGTTTGATTAAAGGCTCATTCTAAATATCGAGGCGGGACTTGAACAAATGTGACAGGTGGATTTTATTAGTTCAATCCCAAATCCAGCCTCGTTACAATGAATGTAATTTTGAGTGTCTGTAGAGGACGTTCATAATTTATATTACATGCCATCCGAGAAAGAAGAAACAAACTTTCTTCTAATAGAAGAAACAAAGTGGACAAATTTGACTTCATATGACCGGAACAGAATGTTGGTTTTTGAGGTCCGAAAATCCTCTGTTATGGTAATCTCGATTGCAAAATAAAGGATAACTAGACGGACCATAATAAGAATTGAGTTAAGCAAGGTGGATAAGGATAGTGATTCGGTGGCCGAAAGTGCAGCTCTGTCTAAAATTAGATGAGCATACCTCATGATAACTGTCCTCTCAAGAGGTATTCTCATACAAAATGGACTGCAATCCCAAAATCGTCCAGCTTTACATAATCAAATTAACACTGCGACTGTTTATGAAGCAATTGGCGAGATTGATAGAAGTGGGTTGACCTCGTTGTCGCAACTTGGTCTTGTGGTCAGGGAGACTATGTAGAACGCA